AGATAACCAAGAAAATATTGTGCAAGAAAATACTAACGAGGTATATATATTTATATATATATATTTGAATATTATATATATATTTGAATATCTATCATCTATTATGTGTACACATGATATTTATTTATTCTTTTTTTATATGTAGCCCTCTGGATCGACGACCACAATGGCGAAAAGCAAAAATGTTCGAGGCCCAAAAAAACCATTGGAGGGGCGCTACATAATATCAGAATTCAATATCGAGACAGGCGAACCACTTGGTCCACATGCAAGGAAATTCGTGCAACACTGTGGGTAACAGACTTCCGATCAGTGCCCATGAATGGAAGCAAAAGATCAACGAGCCTCATGTTAGTTTTGTCTCTAATCTTGATAAGAATTTAATTTGGGATGATATCCTTTAACATTTCACGTTGCAAGCGGATGCTTATGATGCTATCAACGATGATGAATTGAAGGAACTAGTTTGAAAGTGGACTATGAAGAAGACGGCCACACAATTTCAGACTTGGAAGAAATCCCTATACACGAAATACGTCAAGAAAAACCTAACGCCCAATTTTAATACTAGCGGCCCGCTCGCGAAGTTGAGGCTCTACTGGAATGATTTTGTACAGTACAAGACATCGGAAGAGGGTGAGCAATGGGTGAGAAGGAACCAAGAGAATGCCCGACAGAAGGTATACCACCATGGCATGGGATCAGGTGGCTACGCAACTGCCATTCCCAAGTGGGAGAAAATGGAAGCGGACATTCTTGCCAAGGGTATCACACCAGAATCACTCAATTGGCCCAAACGCGTGAAGAATTGATTTTTCGCTCATGGGGGAAGACTAGACCTAGAGATCGGAAAGCTAGTTCATGGCCCAAAACTCGAAAGAGCAACACAAAGATTTTCTTATGCTCTACAAGCTAAAGCTATTGGTGCGTTCAGGCCCAATAGAGAGAAGGATGAACTGACGTATGCCATCGGGACTGCTGAACATAGTGGCCGAATGAGAGGTTTAGGACGGAACATTTCTTGGGAGCATGGTTTCCCGAACAACAGAGATACCTACAGAAGCTGGCAGAGAAGGAAGGATGAGGATGCAGCGTGGATCAGCAGGTTGGAGGAACTAGTTCGTGAGTCACGAGAGGCGTTGCTTCAAGCACAGGAACGCGAAAAAGACATGCAAGCTAGAATGCAGGACGAAATCATAAAGCAAGTGCAAATAGCAATGAGTGCCCAAAGGCAGGCATCAGATCAAGGAATCAACATTAATATTAGCCCCCCTGATCAGTTGAAAAGCAGCTACGCTTCCACGGAGTTGCTAAATCAAGATGACGCAATGCTACATTTCCCTGTGGATGACATCACTGCACCGTTTACATCATGTGAGCTACATATTCCAAAAGAGAATGCCACAATCATGGTGGCTCTCGGTGTTTTTTCTCCTCTAGATCCTACCAAGACACCAAGAATTTATGGGGCAATAATACCACCTGGATATGTTAGCGTCTCAGTGGATAGAGTTAACAAAGGTTTTAGTGATGTGGCTCTTGACATTCCAGGAGGTGATGGGGAGAAGACTCTAGGAGAAGCAGAGAAGACATTCATACTATGGCGCAAGCGCTACATCATTATTCCTGGGGACTCTAGTCCACCGCCGCTTCCTCAACTGCCAGACAATAGGTGCGGACAAAAGTGAACGAAACAATTTTACACTAATTTTCTATTGACATGCATGATTAATAATAACAATTTCTTATACCTAATTATTCTTTTTTGTACTCACACAGCAGGGCCTCCGCCAACCTAAGTCCAATTATTCAATCTCCAGATCATCATAGTGCTCCGGGCAATGATTATGCAACGCCGCCACTGCCGCCACCTCTAAGGAGATCTCCAACACCTCCAAGGAGGTCTCCAACGCCTTAAAGGAGGTCTCCACCACCGCCACCTCCAAGGAGGTCTCCAATGCCTCCCTTGATGATCAAGAAGCAGCCAGCTCCTAAGAGGCCCGTCCCACAAACGAAGCCGTTGGCCCACCAGCCGACAAAGAAGAAAGCCTCCTCTAATCCAGTTATTTCCCAAAAACTGTCTTACGAGAAAAGTGAAAAGAAATTAAAGGATGCAGTACAAAAAGATGTTGAAAAGTTTCTTCGAAAAAGTAAGAAAGCAACGAGAAGCGATGGAGAACTCGGAGAAACCGTACTTGTACCTACCTCCAGATCTTCTAAGAAAGAAGGTGGACCAGAAAAAGCGAGAATCTCAAAAGACCCTGCCAAAATCAGACTACGACCGCTCTCTCACCAAGTCATTTGAGGCAGCGCAGAAAAAGACTAGAGCAGGGAAAGGTGTTGCACAACTCGGACAACAATCGCAACAATCAATCTCCCCTCTTGTCATTCGTAATGAATATGGTTCAAACTTAGACTTATAGGACGTCGATTTTGAGGACCTGGTTCGGTTTTATGAGGATACTGGTTTGGACCTTGCCCAAGTGCTCGCTGAAGAACCATCTGCTCTGAAAGTGGATCCTTGGAAGAAATTTGAACATGGAAAGAGTCTATACAACCCTGAGGCCTTAGGTGAACTGGGTACGCAAATGTACCTGCTAAACAAGTGGTACATGGCGGCGTGTGAACGGGGAGAGAACTTTGTTTCTGTTAGAGTTAGAAACCAACATTACTTCCGTGGCGATGACGTTATATATGTCGAGTTTTTAGAATTACACCAACTATGCCACCTGGACTCTCTCGACAAAAGTCTCGTTAACTGCTATTGTCTGTAAGTGTGATTATTTTCTACTATTAAAGTGTATATATATAAAGCTACATGTATATATATAAATTATATATCCTCACACTATATTTTTATATATGCAGATATGAGATGACAGAATTCAGAAAGAGAAAGGATAATGATGTTGGTTTCGTTGATCCAAATGTCGTATTCAAACACCCTGATCCCCCGCCTCAATGGAAAGCTGAACTCGAGAAAAATCTCATGAGGTTCTTAGTGAACCAACAAAACAAGGACTTACTCTTCCCCTACAACTTCAAGTGAGTGTTAAATAATTAATATCGATCATATAGACATTTGTTCAATTATTTGCTTACTAGCTAAGCTATCTCCCATATATATATTGACTCTAGTTAATGTTGATCATATTTGTGTATAAAAACATATGCAGCAATCATTGGATATTAATGGTCATCGATATGGCCAATAGTCGGTTGAGCATCTTAGACTCGTTAAGAAAAGAGCAAACAGAGTACCAAGACATGATAGATATTATCTAAGGGTAATTTGATCTCTCTAGCAACTATATATACCCCGATCTCTTAACAACAACGGTTATTAAAGGCCAAATTAATTTTTTATTTTATTAGACGCAGTGTTTGGAAAAGTTTCATTAAGGAACACCACATGAAACATTGAAAAGCGCCACTGGATGTAATCGCACACAAAGTAAGTACTAGCTACATTTATATATATATAATTCAATTAACACCATGCATGCTTTTAAATCACCAGATCTTTTTTCTCGTAAAAGTGGGTTCTGAGGCAAGAACAGAGGAACAACTACTGTGGATACTATGTTTGCGAGTTCATCATGACGTACTAAAAAAACTCCTGAAGGGAACCTCAAAGTACGTTATATAAATATATTCATATATTCACAATTTCTTTTATTGCTCATATATATAAGTAATCACGTGACCAACATATATATATATATATTAATACTTTTCCTTTAACTTTTATTGAAGACTCTATGGTTGAAGAAAAAAGTCATACGACGTGACCAACTGAAAGCAATTCAAGAGACCATAGCAAGATTTCTTAATGACCAGGTCCTAAACCCCGCCGACGAGTTCTGCTATGACGTGAACGAAACATGGAAGTCAAACCAGATGGAGTGAATTTGTTATCCCAAGGATATATATGATAGAATATACAATGCAAGCTTTATTTGTAATATATATATATATATATATACATAAAATAACGTACAATATATGTATATGCATGTAATATATATGTTAGTTTCATACTTTAGTTTGTACAAAATATTTCAACATTATAAACGTGTAGAATACGTATATTATTAGCATCGTAGAATGCGTATTCGAAAACCTATTCGAAAACCAAAACGAATCATCAATTGAAAATAGAAACAAAAAAAAGAAAAAAAAGAAAACCTTTAAGGGCCGGCCCACGTGGCCAGGCCGGGAGGCCTCTTTAGCCCCAGTTGGTATTATCAACCGGGACTAAAGGTGGACGCGAAACCGGGACTAAATGAGGAACCCTTTAGTCCCGGATTCGTGCTCCCGGTTCCAAAACTGAGATTGAAGGGGGTTGAGAACCGGGAGTACAGCTCGTTTCTCTACTAGTGAGATTTTTTACTACTCTTGATGGTTGCCACCACCTAGACAGTTTGGAGCAGCGAGACGTCGTTGAGCACCGCTTGGTGATTATGCGGGGGCTCCGACAGAGTTGATTGTGAGAGGTTTTATGCTCACCCCGCAGGCCAAAGACAACTCTAGTGAAATCAACGGACTTGTTGGAGTGCCTAGATGGGTCAGCTTCTCGCAAACACCTAGTGCGGGGCAAGCTTGAGGGCTCGTTTAGCTTGTGTCATAGGTGGCTTTTTTTTCTTGGATCCACCGCTAGAGTGAATTCAAGCAGACATGGGATAACAAAAACACCACTCGTTGGGACGAGATACAAATGGCCGCAGGCATGTCTATCTTTGGTGCTGGCATGTTCGGGGTAGCTGACCTTCAATTCGGGTTGTTTTTGGCATACACAAAATTCTTAGCTTTTCCGCTGTTTTGTTGAAAAAGAAGAAGACAGAGTACGCATAACAAATGCCATAATGTCACTTGTAATCTTCTCCAATCTGCCTTGACACTTGGAATCTTCATGACAAAACCATGCAAGTAGTAGTACATATCACTATCATTCATCACACACTTCACTACATTCATCGCTATAGCTTTATCGAAACTACCTACCATCCATGCTCACCGACATGGAGTCCGTGACCATGACCAAGCAGTACACAGTGCGATGATCCCACAAGCCTCTGCCTCCTGCTCCTAGTGGCGTTGCATCCGTACGGCGTCGTCTCCGGGAACGCAGCCCTGGCCAGCGCCTGCCTGACGCCCTCCTCGAGAGCCCTCAGCACGCGGCCGCCGCCGCCGGCGCTCGTCACCACGCCTTCGTCCTCGTCTCTGCACAGCAGGAAGTCGCACTGAGCCCTGCCTCCCAGGGCGGCCACGTCCGCTCTCAGCAGCCTCAGCCTCATGGCGCGGAACGCGGCGGCGACGTCGGCGTGGAGTCCCGGGCGGTCGTCGCAGCTGACCGAGGCCCTGACGTACGTCGCCCGCGGCGGCCTCCCGTAGCCGTAGCCGGTGACGGCGGCCTCGCCGGTGTAGCAGTGGACGGCGATCCCGTTGGCCTCCGCGGGGATAGTGGCTAGTGGTGGCTGCGTGGTGGTTTCGGCCGATTTCTTCTTGAGGTCCTTGAGTTGGCAAACCACCCGGGCTAGCAAGGTGGCCTTGTCCATCTGTTCATGAGCAGACAGTGACATTGCTGTTAATCATTTTATTTGTGGTGCAGCACTGATGCCTTCTCCTGTGCTTGCACGAACTGATTTCGTAATTAAAAAAACAGAAATGGAGTTCAGCTGTGCGTTTTAAAACTCCGAATTCAAACTGCAGACGTACCTGCCTAGCATCAGGGATCATTCTCCTCAGCGTGGCGAGATGAGCATTGATCCTCTCCCGCCGCCGCCTCTCGGCCTCGCTGTGGATCTTGAGGGCCTGCTGCGCGGACCTCCGCGACGACGACGGCATCTCCAGCCTGGGCAGAGGCGGCGGCGCCGAGCTGGCCGGCCGCAGAGCCGTTCCTCCGTACACTGAAGGAAGAGCACGGCCACCATGGTGCAGGTGCAGGTGCTGCTTCCCTTCTTGAAACGGTTGGCTCGTAGTAGTAGCCATCTGTTAACTTCTAAGCAACCTTGTCGTTCTCACTCATCTGTCATCTCACTAGTGAGTAGTGACACCTCAAAAACTGCAAGCAATACAACAAAGTAAACACAGAAACTCTCTTGAAACAGCAAGGGTATGCATGAGAATCATCAAAAGATGAGCCAAATAATGGATGGATAAATGTTGGCCAAGTTTGAATGAGGATTTGCATTCGCCGTACCTTTGACTATGAGAATCGAAGGCTGGTGTGTCTACGACGGTGCAAGAAGATGGATGACGATGGAGCGAGTGGAGGAGGCGAAGAGGCCAAGGCTACTTAAACTATTGCAACTAGTGCTATATGGTACTAGAACAACAGCAACAACTTACGCCTTCATTTCGTCTCTGCCGGGTTAGATAGATATGCTTGCGATTGCGAAGGGGATTGTCACATTATGTGCATGTGTGCAACTGTAGACCAACTACCGCAGCAAGAACCTTTTTTTCTCCCACATTGTTCCCCACTTCTTCTTCTTCTTTTTGACGAAACATTGTTCCCCACTTGGAGACGCGCGATCCGTGCTTTTGGACTGGCATGGATGCTTGTGATCTTGGGATACTGTCAGGGCAGTACTACCACTTCTCCGTTTCTGGAGATGAAAAGGTTCATGCCAAATATAATGAAAGATTTGGTCTCCAAAGAATATTTATGAAAAGTATAGGATAAGAATACTCTAGTTCCGACTAAGTCGTATTTTAGATATGGGTTGTCTAATCTGGATTCTGAGGATTTTTAGGATTTTATAGGCATCTGATTTTTTGGGCCACTAGATCTTAATCAAATGGTGCATGTTCATTTTTTCTTTATAAATATAGACCTGAGCAAGGGTCTAGTGATTTAAGTGATTAAATGGCAACACAATCAATAGGACCAATAATGTTTACACAATTTAGAAAAACTAACAATGTTTACACAATTTAGAAAAACTAACAATGTTTACTAGTACTATAGCATACAAGGTACTTAGTCTTATGAATGCAAGAAATGAACTTGAGCTAGGCTAAAATAAAGATCGAGGAATCACACCTCAAAGCAAGATCAAAGAAGAGCATTGAAGACCTTACAATAAAAGCAATATGTTCAACAAACCATACAATAGAAGCCTTGACAAAAGGACATGAAGAAAACCACTCAGAAGAGCACCGGAATCCTGGAGCAATAGGACCAAAGAATTCCGGTGGGGTCAGTCCGAGGCACCACATAATACGTGCATGGCATATTTTCAGTGTGGGCAAAGTTCGAGTGTAGTGGACTTGGAGCAATAAAGGGCGGACACGAAGGCTTGGATAGAGGGATCAAGGGTCATCGGAGGATGGACCGTGGACGGCTATCACTTGGACATGTCAACAAGCAAGGGCACATGCAAGACGGTGATGAAGACTGAGTCGATTGAGTCAATGATGGGTTGGACCAAGTCATGGCGTCGACCAAGACGATAATCATGTCTGAAGCCCAACTTCTACCTTTTTTGTTCCAAGCTCTAAAACCCCTCTTCTCAACCTCTTTTTGGTGAATTTCTTAAGAATTTTTGAGCTAAGGTTGTGTCGACTTCTATTGCTTCTAAGGTGCTATGGGGTCTGGGAAACATGCTTAGGCTTTGCCTCCAATCGAATTACCATGAGCACACTTGAAACCCCTTTCTCAAGAATATACTCAATTTGAGAGAGAACAACTAAAATTCTTGACCAAGCTTTAAGCTTTTGGTCAAGACCTCTTGGGGATAACTTCGTTGTACTCTATAGAAGTTGTGTACAAAATTTTGTGGGAGTTGGACTTCATTTGGTTGAGTTTTGGAATTTTTCTCACAACTTTGTTATGTTGCTCACAGCAAGCATGGAACTTCCAAGCTAGTGGGCGGAACCTCCACATAAATATGCAGAATTTCCGCAGCCTAGGGATCCCCTTTGACAATTTTCTGATTCTCTTCTACTTTGCGTCCATGATGTTCACCTCTTCTCTATCCTCTCTTAGATTTGTCACTTGTTCATCTGAGTGTTCTAGCTGTGGAGAAGAGAAGCGATTCGGGTTGATATTGGGATATAATCCCTCCGTCCCAAAATAGTCGCATACTTACTATCTAAATTTGGTCTAGAAATAAATGAAGAAGACACACAATTCCATGTTCTGCAGCAGGCAACAGAGTATAGTACACTTGCTAGGCTGAACCAAATTCAAAAAAGGAACCGACAACAAGCTCTCATCAACTCGTTCTCTACTTTCCTCTTCCTACACAGTCACACCGAGTCTCCCTGTCCACACACTTATAGGAGTAATGTCGTCATTTTACCTTATATCTGGTTTTCGTTCCTGTTCCTAGAATGCTGACTTATTTTAGAACGGAGGTAGTAGACTAATTGTTAATGTTTTTTTATGGACTTCTATTCACCCCTTCTCTAATTATCGTTGTGGACCTTCAGACCTCTCGTGTCCTTGAATTGAAGATTGAAGTTTGACAGCAAAAATCGCATGCAAGGCAGCTGAAAGCACTATGAAATTGCAACAATAATGAACGCCCACTTCTTTTAAAGCAGTATAAGCCAACGGCTCCACGGACCAGATGGTCAGGAGGTCCGGTCGGCACCCTCGCGTGCAGGGTTTGAAACCCCGCTGGTGCGCTCATTCATCTGTCGAGGATAAAAAAATCCTCTCGTCTGTCCGTGTTTCTCGAAGCAGCAAATGGATAGGTCCTCTCAGATGATAACGGGTGCCTGTGATGATCACTGATGAGTGATGACGAGAGGTTTCGCTGAAAGGACGAAATGGCCTGTTCGTACAGTACAGTGGCATCCAGCAGTAGCAGTGAGGGTGGGGTGGGCGGCTGGTGCTGTTGGCTTTTGGCGCGTAGCTGCGTGCAGCCGCCATTTGCTTTCACATCACGCCACGCTTTGCGGCTTCACACAGGTCACCTCTTGGACGCTTCCCGCGCACCACTGCTTCTTTTTTTTTTTTCGTTAGACTCTACTCCTACGTGATTCTCGCTTGGAAGAGAAGGGCAACAAAATCCCCTCGGGATCGTCCAGAGGAAATGTCAGACGAGTGAAGTGCAGGTGCGGCGGCCAGCGGCACGGTACGGTACGGTAGTGGCTGGCGCACGACGCCCGAGATGCCCTTCATCTTCCTTTGACCCACCAAGTTGTCACGTGTAGAAATACACGTGCTCTTGTTTGTCACCGCCCAAAAGAAACTAGGGACAACAGCGCTTGCTTGTCCTTGGTGTGCTATGTTTACGTACTCCCCCCTTAAAAAAAATGTAATTACGGAATCCGTGCCGGTTAAAGTAGCTCAAGTTTGACCAAATTTATAGCAAATTGTATTAATATTTATATGTCTCCAAATAAATTTATTATAAAAACATATTCTATCACTAATCTAATGATACTAATTTTGCATCAGGAATGTTAGTATTTTTTATATGATTTTAGTCCAAGTTTAAACCGATTGACTTCTTAGAAAGCGAGAATTGCATTTTTTTGTAGACGGAGGGAGTAGGACTTATCGGAAAAAGAAAAAAAACTTTGGATGTAGTATAGGACGACGTTTATGAACTCAACCTGCTTGGTCAGTACTGTAGCTTTTATTCTCAAGATGCCTTTCAACGAACACATCATGCATAGAATCGACGCTAAGCTCCAACACAGAAATAGGGCCATTAACACAAGTGAGCAAGTCATCGACAACTGGTTTAGTACTTATTAGTTTCCTCGTCTCACCAATGTAATCTCCACTGTGAGCTAATTGTTGCAGCAAACCGTGGTGCATGTCAATGTCAGCTGGTATTGCATCCCATAACACGCTCTCTCGCAAAGTATTTCAATGGACACCTCCTGCTTGCGTTGCATCTGGTCATCCATTGCTTCAGCATGCTGCTGCGATAGGCCATGTGAACCAAAGCCATGATGTGGCTCCTCATCACAGAGAACATCCGTGCAATGCATTCCATCGAATAGCTCCGCTTGTAGTAACTCCTCATCCCACACCACCTGGCTAATGACATACTCAGCACTTGGTGTGTTCTCATCGCCACGCATGTGCTCTCTGGAATGAGCTAGCTCCTTCAGTAAACTATGTTGGTCAAACACATGTTGCATTTCCTCATCCCAGACCACATCTGCTGTATCATTGTCCCTAAGTGGCATATCATCGAACACCAGCAGGCAGTCACCTCAGGCACCATTGAAGCAAATGATAAATCACGAGCAAGATGAACATGGTCCACAAGATTGGACGTTAGACTAAGCACTGTAACTTGATGTTGTGGTTGACCCTGACTTACCTGCAGTCTCGACCTCTGTCCATCAGAGTGCACCAGCACCGCACCGATCACCTCAAAGCTTGGGTCAACCACGCCCATGCCGAGGATACGTGTCTCACGAACCTTGCCGCAGGGAATCAGCGGAACAAGACTTGAGACTGCCGTCGTCTTGCGCTTGCTGGAGCTGCCGCTGTCGTGCGCTAACTAAAGCTACTGCCACCCCCGAAGGAGCTTCCCCACCAACGCCACCACGCTTCGGCTGCGCCCCCACGATTCAGACCGAGAAGGATTTTGGACACTGCCGCCAAACACCACCGGAGCCGTCGTACTTCGCCGACACGCACCACAAGCTCCGCAGATCGCGAAGTCACCGTCGCCAACGTCGAAATCCTCGAACGATGTGGTCACCGCGGCCTTACACCGCCAGATTCTAGTTGAAGTACTCCGTCGCCGCACGCCACCAGTCAAACCGCGCCGGATCAAAGGAGCCGTTGCATCCGATCGGGGAGATCCACTGCACCAGGTCGCGCTGCCGCTGGTCCGGCTGAAGAAGTGGATAACTAGCATCAGAGCAGGAGCAGACGCTGCCCACCACCCACGCCAAGGAAAGTCATCTCTAATACCACTGTCACAACTCGTGGACGCCGGTGAGATCAACCCGGTGACGTGAGCTATCACAGGAGGAAATCGGAGGAGGGGATCTCGGTAACCAGGAGG